CCCCCCCCAAAATTCATTTGTTAAAAAGCTCCAAGACATTTTAAAGCTATGCATGTAAGCCAGAGTACATACTGTTTTAGCCAGGCTACAGGCCTTGTCCGGGTTGTTTAGGATTTCATAATAGAAGACTGAGAAGTTGAGGGCCAGGCCAAGCCTAATGGGGTGTGTTGGCTGCATCTCACTCTTGCTAATGTCAAAAGCTTCCTGGTACGCCTTCTGGGAATTATCCACTGTAGCTGTGAAAGCATAAGGAAAAAAATAAATAAAACTATAATGAACCAATTTTCAGCAACTTAAAAGCAGAAAAATTAGACTATGAAGAATCTCAAACTGTATTGTAACATTCATTAATATGGCAAGATTTTCTTATTCCACATGGTGCCATCTCTGCATTTACTGTAGACCTGCCACAAAATTTTCTGGCCTTTTCAGCTTGTCTTCAAGTATGTCAGGTTCAACTACATAGGTTTGTTATTTGGACGGTTTTTTATTGCTAAAAAGTGCAATCAGCTGTTGCTGAAAACAAAGCTGTTGACAGAATAATAATTTTTTAAAAAAAAAAATCAGATAAAAAGCATCATGATTCTGCTCTTTTAAATCAACACATTTAGGGATTTCAGATTACACGTTATTGACTAACTTAAAGTTACTTTCACCACTCTTTAAAAGGACACTGCGGTAAAACACAAAGTTATGATGTAAACTGTGTTTTCACTTACTCTTCTTATTATCCCCAGACGCAACCTCAGACAGGTATCTATAATAGTCGCCTTTCATTTTCAGATAGAACACCTTGCTTTCAGGATTAGATGCTTTGGCAATGAGAAATTTGTCCAGTAGCTCCTGAAAACAGCAGTAAAGGTTTGTTCAGATTCACAATAACACGTACCACTTTCATTAGAATCTAAATTGGGACTGAATAATGAGAAATCCTTACAAGCACATCGTTGCAGATTTCTTGCAGCTCAGCTTCTATCTTCTCCCGGTATTCACGTGCCATCTCCTGTTTTTTGTCATTGCCCTCAGTCTTCTGCTCAATGCTGGAGATAACGCGCCAGGATGAGCGGCGCGCTCCTACAACATTCTTGTAGGCAACAGAGAGAAGGTTGCGCTCCTCATTTGACAGCTCAGAGTCTTGCTCTGTCACTGCCTTCATGGCTGAAGCCATGTCATCGTAGCGCTCAGCCTGCTCAGCAAGCTTGGCCTTCTGTACCAGGTCGCTCTTATCCATTTTCTAGACTGGGGAAAACAAGACAATATTAGAAACAGCTACAGTTGCAATTCACCAAAACACAAGAAAGAATGTTTCAGGCACATTAGCCATTCACACCTGTGTGGTGTGTGCGTTATCTTAGTTCACACGAACTTGCTTCACCTTGCCGTGGCACACCTGGTCTTTTAACCAGTGAAAACACTTAATTCAATGACAATTCACAGGATATGCTTTGTGAACTGGGCCCTTTGGCAAGTGGGTCAACCACACTCATCTCTTGCTATGGTTAGCCGCTAGCCAAGTTATTAGCTAACCCTGCTTCGCCCTTACCGTCCCAACCCAATTTCATATTCACGAGTTGAATCAGAACTCTTCACACATCTAAATATGTCAAACCGTGTATAATTATTTGCTCTGCTGCCTTTTTGGCTCGCTTGACGTTCTTTCGACCGACACTTGCTGTACCAGCGGAAGCCTTCCCGGGTCATGTTTAATGCCCTCCCACAATGTTGCTAGCAAGGCTAGCGAGGATAGTAGATTTTCTAAATCGCGGCTAAACTGGCTTAACAAATGCGACAGTACATATTAGAAGACTTCATATGTTTCGTTTGTATTTATAGCCGCTAAACTATCGTATGCGCGATAACCAAAGTAGGAAAAAAACGAATGTAGTAGCTAACAGTTCGCTAGCATCGCCGCTAACAGTCACGGTTAGGCCAGCGAAAGCAACCGCGAATTTTCATGTAAAAATACGCGGTTTGGGTGATGGCAGTTAATATTTGTCATTTTAAGTAGTTATTACGGAGGGGAATACTGAACTGCACCGTATTACTTTTGCTTTGATTTCGTTTTAAGTAGCTGTAGCAGGGCCCGCCCTGGCTGCCGAGCCTGTCAGAACAAAGTGTCACGGAATCTCACCGTCCGCTAACAAGCTAGCAGCTAACGCTAGCTTAGCCTTTCACCAAACGAGCTAGCCGTTATGTTTCGCTTCTCAGTGGGATTCGAACGAACACGATAGAACAGGCTTTCGAACAACGAGCTACCAATGAAAACCTGGTGTTAACATGCGATATTCATACATTCGAGGTTATTGCACTTACGATTGCGGTGACTTTTAATCCTACTGTTTTTTCTTCTTCTCGCTCGCTCTGTGGACGATTCAGCCTCCGTCCTCCGTCTCACTCAGCGTATCGTTCAGGGCAGTACCACTTCCGCTACACGGGCACTTCTGTTTCCTCTTTTCTCACTGCACATCTGCCTTACGTAATGCAGCCTCTGCTCACACGGTAAAGACAAGCAATGGATCAAAGCGTATTTCTTTATCCAGAATTAATTCGACTGTTTGATACTCTTGCATTACATTGCTACAGTATTGACATATATATGCATTCAGCTTATATATGTATACAAGCTAAATGTATATGCGAAGGTCGCCAACTGGATGATTTTGTGATTTAGTACTCAGCCAAAATAAACATTATCCGCACGCGGGGAGCCCTCTTTACCATTTAAATGGGTTACAAGACTATAGACATGTATGATCAGATAATTGGAGGCTCATGTAGGTTTAAATTAAAACAAAGAAACAAAATAATACTTTCCATATTGATGATCAAAGGTCAAGGTCAGCGTTTTTCTCAAGGGCACTTGAGCAAGTCAAGATTTTAATGAGTGCAGGCGCTTGCTTGAACCTGATAACCAAACTGACGACTGAGGTTAAGAGCAGCAGATATAAACATAAATGTAAATTTTCTATATATGTAAAAAAAATTTCATCTTGTACATATTTTTAAACCAATTATTTGTGTTAATAAAGTAAATGTCAACAGCAACACAGCAAAATAGTATTTATTATTCTTAGTTGCACTCCTGTTTCCTCTATTTGCTCACGCTCCACCTTCAATGGCTCTGTGTGTATCTCCACCCTTCTTAAGTCATATAAGTCCCAACTCCAGTAGAAACTGAGGTCAGGCTGTGTTGCATAGGTGCACTTAAAATTGCAAGTTTAATAATACTTTTTCTATTAAATCATTATGCAGATAATTACATCTGTAATGTATTTTTTTCCTAATAACTGATGTTCTACAACTACTGTACTAAGGCCTGTCACTCCATTGCGTACTTGTGTGCGTGTGTGTGTGTGTGTCTACAGCGATCTCATTTTACGTGTCAAATTAAAATTTACAAATCTTTGCTCAATAAAAAAAAAGGAATGAATTAATCCCATTTTTTTCTAATCATTATAAAGCCACAGCAACAGCAATCGTCAAGGTTTCAGCTCACATATGCCTATTGGACTGGGGCTATGTCATATGTGTTATAAAGCTCTACAAATAATTAAAAACAATTGTCTTGTGTAAAATGCTCAGAGAACAAAATAATTAATAAAACCATTCAAATCAGTAGAGTAATACGAGTAAAAGCAAATATCAAAACTTAGATTTATTTAAAAAACAAAGAAGTAATGGTTTTTTTGGGGGGAGATTAGGTTCTGATTTGAAGAACCTGGCTGTTCATGGTTTTAGGAGCAGCTTCTGCAACGGACTGATCTGATGTATGCTTAGAATAATTTGGAGAGTCTGATCTATTGGAAGTTAAGTTAGTAAATGATGGAACCGTAACTATCAAACTATGTGAAAGGTCGAGGCTGTAGTTAAGGCAAGCTGTTGTGATCAAACAATCAATAGAACTGATCGGGACACGTTTTAGTGGACAGGCACAGGACAATAACCTCAACCACAGAGAGTCACTTCTGATAAAGAAGCAGTCCAAATGGATGGAAAACAATCCAAATGAAAAGATACTCAACAGTTTGCCCTCTCTGCTTTACTGCTGGTAAATCAATCAGTTTTTCAAATTTAATACCTTCATCCAGTACCAAGCTGTTCCCCCAGTAACAGCAGTGACACCGACAGAATTTAACTGTTTCATGCATTGGGTTTACGCAATGGTTTTCTTATGATCCAAAGTTTTCATCACTTACATCCCCACCGAGCTTTAAATGCTCATCTGTTGGACAGAAATAAGGCGACACAATCTTAAAGAGTGACCCGGACCAGTCGGTGTGACACAAACACAGCGTGTATTGAGTTAAAACCAGTTTCCTTTTCTTACTCAGCAGTATGCTGGCAGCTTAATAAAAGTGGATGGAAAATTTTCCTTCTCAGATGTACCCCAGATCTCAGCCTAGCAGACAGCTCTCTCCTCCTCTCTCCAGCCACTGAGGCACAATGATACCATTAAGGATTTTAATTTTCACATATGTAATGCTCCCATGGATAGTGTCTTCTGCAGCAAAGGGTGAATACATGGAAGCAAGAACACCTGCAGTAAGAAAGCTTTGGGGGGAGGTTCAAAACTATCTTCAAGGACGATATGCACAAAAGTGAGAGCTAACTGAGATGATTTCTTCTTTTTGCAGAAAGCTACGGTACGTGCGTCGGACTATGGCGTCCTGCAAGACACAGATACTGATGGTGGAGTACTTCCAAAAGCAGAAGGTAAGGTTTATTAAAACAAATAAATAGTTTTCCACAACTCTTTCAAAGCAGATTATGCAACACTTGCAAAGGCATTCTTCCACATTTTCGTGAATGGAGCTAAAGCTCATGTTACGTAATGATGGGACTGATCAAGTGTCCTCGGCTAAACTGTGCAGTGCATTTTCATGTGCATACACAACTGTTTCTAGTTTAGTTGCAGCTAATTAAAGGACCTGTGTGTACACCACATTTATTTTTGTTTTGCTGGATCTTTGTTTTCTTTTGTTTTTGTTTTGTTTGTTTTTTTTATTGGGGGGGTGTTTTGAGAAGTGTATATAAATGATGCCATATAATGAAAAGATGTGTGATCATTTCAGTTTTGCCAACATGTCTACTGTGCGTTTGTCTGAGTGGATCAGTTTACTGTGAGGACGTGTCCCCTGACATGTCAGCCGTGCCAACCCTGCCAAAGGAAACGGCGTATCTCTATGCTCGCTTCAACAAAATCACAAAAATACACAGGGAAGACTTTGCAGACACAGGTAAAACAATACTAATAATTTTAAAAATCCTTTGAAGTATTCTTCTCTTCAGTGAATGCCATTCTTAAATTTTTACTTCCATTATTTGTATTTTTCAGCTACTTTAAGAAGGATTGACTTGTCTGGGAATCTCATCTCTGAGATAGAAGACGGATCTTTCTCAAAACTTCCCAATCTTGAGGAGCTCAAACTCGCAGAAAACAGACTGACCAAACTTCCCATGCTGCCATCCAAGCTAGTAACTTTTAATGCCAATTTCAACAGGCTTAAAACCCAGGGTGTAAAGGCAAATGCTTTTAAAGTAAGTTGGCAAGTAAATGCCTAATGTTAAACCCCTGCAGAAATCATCGTTGCATGTTAAATAGTGGCCTTGTGTTGTTGCAGAAACTCACGAGACTGGCATACCTTTATCTTGGAGACAATGAACTGACAGCCGTCCCCCATCTTCCAGAGACTCTTTACGTTGTTCATCTGCATGTAAGTTCATCTGTTATTTATTTTTGAAAAAACTAACGAAAAAAAACTCTGCAGAAGAAATGAAATTTGTTTTCTGTCTGGAAGTTGTAGCCAAGGTTGTGTTCTTGAATTGATCTCCTGCAGAACAACAACATCTCAACAATAACAGATGAGACATTCTGCAAAGGAAACACAAGCCACTACATTCGGACCAACATGTACGAGGTGAGACTGGATGGGAACCCCCTGAAGCTGTCGGAGCACCCTAACAGCTTCATCTGCCTGCAGTCTCTCCCTATTGGCTGGTACAAGTGAAACACAAAAGAAACTGAGGCAGACTTTGTAAGTCAGTTCTAGAGCCCGACCAATATAGGATTTTTAAAACTGATACCAATAATTGGATATTTAAAAACCTGATATATTGGCCGATATTTTTTTTCCTTTTGGGCAGACAAAACAAAGATTTCCCTGGCATTTCTTATATCTAGTTATTCATGAGTCCTTACTAAGGTAATGTGACAAAGTTGTGGATTTACATTCTGCCCGACTCTGCTCAAATCAGCTGGCTGTTGTGTTCATCGCATTTCGAACATATGCTGCCAACAGGAAAGTTGGGGTGTGTCCTCTGATGGCCAAGCTATGCAACATCATAATGCCTCTTCTTTACTTGTTAATGAAATGTGTCGCTATGCACGTATCGGCAGATAGCCATTATCGGCTAATAATATCGGCTGGCCGATATATCGGTCGGGCTCTAGTGAGTTCTTGGTAAAGTGAAGGAGAGTGGGATTAAGATGCACAGTTAGTGCACAGAAAAAATATAAATAATGAAAAAGATAGTTCTTAAGCGACATTTTTATAGTGATATATATATATATATCGCACAGTTGAAAACTTACACAATTAGAAATCTTTTATAACAAAAAGATTTGATCAACAAATGAAACAGTGTGTTTTTTTGTTTAAAAGCAATATCCAAAAACACCTTTAGTCATTTTTTTAGTTGGTACATGGCAAAGATGGTTTCTCTAGCTGGTGCTATGCAATGTTTGTTTGTTTTTTTAATATGAGGCATAACAACGATGAGATCTCAATATGGTTTCCACAAACAAATAATGCCTTTTTCGTTATTATTTTCATCTTTCTGAAACGGATTCTTCTACCCTGTTGCTTTATACTGCAGTGCTGCAAATGAACACTATACAAATAATAAAACCTGCATGTTGGAAGTCATTGCACCATCAGCTTTTCACTCGTTTCTTTAGCAGCATTCATAATTGCATGGGTGTCCCACAGTAGCTTTAGATGACGTGTCAAGTCCTTATTTAATCCAATCATCATCTTTCACTTGGCTGGAGACTGATTGAGAACTATCAATCCATCTGCTATCTTCTGCTGGTACTCTCGTTCTGACTGTTTTCTTCTGTAGACATCATCTGGAAAGAAAACAGATTCAAAAGACTGAAATGTGGCTCCAGTAAAAACTGCACAGAGAAAGCATTCTGGATACTTGACACTGATGTCTAACTGAAAATGTGCCAACTATCAGTTTATGTGTCACGGTAAGAAACACACTGGTTTATGCTACTAAACTGTCAGTGTCAAAGTGAGCATGCACAGCAGATATTTTGGCTTGCTGAAGAAGGAAAGAAAGACACATGTAACCGCATAACATTAGTAATGAGTGCATACCACTCAGGTGGGGCAGTTCCAGGGTTCCAGACTTAACCCCCCCAAGAAAAAAAAAAAAACACCTTTTTTTTTCACTGCT